TTAAATACACATATTGTGTGGCAACTGCTTGGGAATGCAGGTTTTCGCTCCCCGTTTGGAAGGATTAATTCACTTTAATGAAGCACAAACAGGTATATTTATTTTCTTATCACCAATACTAGCTTCAGATAGTAATCTTCCTGTGTTCTTTCCACAAAGTCCTTCATAGGTGTATGGCCCTGGATGGCACCTTGTACTTAAAAAATTAGAAACACTCACAAATGGGACTCTTCTTTCCAGCCTTCTCGTGTCTGTGGTTAGGCAATTTCTGCATCAGCATGTAGTTGAAAGAATATGTGCTTCAAATTTAGGAGTCCTAATTCCAAGTATAATAGTGTGTAGTCTCGAACAAGACATTTAACCTCATCTGTAAAATGGGGACAGCAATTACTTCCTCGGGGGGCTATTGTGAACAACAAAAGAAACACATATGCAAAGATGCTTTGCAAATGGCAAAGGGCTATAGAAATAACTTATTTTAATGTAATGTAACATAACATAATCTCTACTCTCATGAGCAATGGCCAAATAAATATCCAGAGCACCTCAAGTTACCAGAAGTAGATTATCTGCCTTTACATCCTCCAATCATCATCTCCAAACCCTGAGAACTACAGTGGTGTCCTACAGAGGGATGGCCAAATTCCAGGTTTTCCTCTGGGGAAGTTGGCAAAGTTGTCAATTTAGATTTCCTAAGTCTAATAAGTCTTTACTCTTTTTTAACCACTTGGACAATTTTCTGTTTTGCTTAATAAATATCTACAGTTATCTCCTGCCTGCTTTTTCCGACTTTAATCCACAATCTGCCTACATAACAGATGAGAGCAACAGTGATGGCCTCTGGAAAAAACTGCCCCTAAAAACAAGGACTAACCGTATCTACTCAACTACAGTACTACCCTCACCTAGACAAGAAGATAGCCGAACTGTAGCCCTGCAGAGAGATGGTACATTCCTCATGGTATATGAGTGATAGGCTATGTTCAAATGTAGGAGATTTTTTTTGAGCTGGGGAAGATAAATATAAATATTTCACAGGCATGAAAATGGGACGCCAAGTAATATGATGGCTTTTCTTTTGGAACTTAAATATTTATAATTCCTTTGGAAAACTATATTTTACATTAAAAAGCATTTTAATGAGGCCATGTTCTACATTAATCTATATAAAATATAGAGTGGCTAATGTCTAATTAGGTGAGTAGCTTGGAGAGTACAGCCTGTGTTCCAGCTAACAATCACTGACTTCAAAATCTATTGCTTGAATCTGTAAGTCAAAGAACACATAATTCTATGCTTAGAATGAGAAAGGGAAAGAAAGATTAGAAACATTCAACCTTTTAAAAATTTCAACGATGTCCAAAGAGGGAATAAGAATGACTGATGCTCACCAGAGTCCCAGCTCTAGCAATATTGCCATCTATTTTACATTATTTTAACCAATCCCCATATTTTCTTTTTACAACGCCATTAACTGCTGTACAAATACATTCTAGATGATAAAATATGACATGATTTTTTTACAAATAGATACAAATACAATGTTGACCAGATATGCTACAGTAAATATATACACCTTATTTCTCTAGAGGCAGGAATATTCCTTATTTTTAGATAATTCATCATTTACACGGAGACTCTAAGGAGGACTATCAGCTTCCTGCTTCCAGATATTGCCTTCCTCTCTGTACCATTAGAAGCTTATCTTGTGCCTTAATCCTATCATTGAGCAAGAGTTCTGGAAGGAAAAATGAAACCCTGCTAAAGACCTGTTGGGACTTTTCTGCTCCTATTTTAGAAACAATCAAGATTGTTTATTGTGATACAGCCCAGACATTAGCTTTTCCTCAATGATGTCTTTCAGTACAGTAAATGAATATTGTCCCTGAACCTCCTTTTAAAAAAGAGTGTTTCAGGAATGGAGATGAAGTCTTCCGGTAGTCCTCTCCCCCTCCACATCCATCATCCTGTTTCCGCTGGTTGAGTGAACACTCCCGAAGAGTCTATCTGGAGGTCAATGCAATTAGGGCTGCACTATGGGGTTCAGCCTTTCTATACTCCCATGTGGTTTGTACAAAAATATACTTTACTTCAAGTCCTTATTGACAGTGACTGCTTTAAATCTTCACGGTAAACTAAAATAGGCTAAGTGCATTATAAATTTGTACCTGAAGACTTCGATGCACTATATGCCTTTGCTTTCTCAGCAAACTCTACCCAGGCTTTGTCATGCCCAGGGGCTGATGCTGTCTTAGTGAGCACTGTGGTCTAACAATTCAGGAGAACAGGTCTAGCTCCTTAGGCTTTGTAATTATGCATGGATGTTGTCAGAGTCAGTTGCCCATTGGGAGCCACTTCATTGCCATCATCTTCCAATAATCCTGACACGTCTGCATTGGGAATGCTGTCATGGTAGCTGCTGAAACTGATATTGTCTTCTTTCAGCTCGATGGTCCAAAAGGGGGCATTGAGTTTCCGGTTTTGGTACTCCCGGTACATATATACAGCTCCCACAAATCCCATCAGCAGCACCACCACAATGATGATGACAGTCAAAATGATGATGTTAAATTGGGTCCATGAAACATCAGCTAAAGCTGACGTGCTGTTTTCAGCAGAGCTTACTGAAAAGATAGTTTGCAAGGTGGTGGGGGTAAATGTACTATTTATAACAGGGGTGGGCACTGATGTGGTCAAAGAGGCATTGGAAACCAAAATGGTAGAACCTTCAGGTGTTGGAACAATAACTTCTGAAAATAAAAACAGAGAATGAAATGTAAAAGACAAAATTATCTAGTTTTAAGAAACAATAAAAGAAATACATGGGAGTGGAAGTTGATATGGCATGTTGATATGATAGTCTTCTTTAAGGTCATGCAAGTTAAAAATAACTTTTAGAGAAATATAGTGAAAAGAATCAAGATTTAGAAAGCTTTATTATTATATGCATAGCTAATATTTAAAATGTATAATATCTATATTAAAATATTTGGGGAAATTCTAATGTTGGAATTTTCCATCTTTCTTTAGTCTTGGATAGATTCATACAAATTTCTACAAAGACAGTAAATATGTCACTACTGAGTTCTAAATCACTTGGTTAAAAGTGACAGGGATAGATGACAATCATTTGAACTACAATAAGTTCAGCATGTCTGATGGCATTTCATAAGGGCAAACTTCTGTTCAAAGGAGACAAAAACGAAATGGGGGGGGGGGGGCTGTATTTCTAGTTACTTCTGAATAACACAATTTAAATGCCCAAAGTTAATGTCAGTCAAGAGAAAAAAGAAACTTCCTTTAATTTCATGTGTAGTAATTCTTTCTTACACATGAAATTAAAGGAAGTTTCTTTTTTTACACAAGTAATTCTTTCTTGTGTAAATTTTAGCTATTTTATAATTAACATACTACACTTTGTACTTCTAATGCAGCATAGCTCAGTGGAAATACCAAAGGCTCTAGAATTAAGTAGAAGTTTGTGGTTATAGGTAAGTCAGTTAATCTTTTTAAAACTGAGATTCCTTATCTATAAATGGGAATAATAATATCTATTTGGCAAAGTTATTGGGAAAGATTAAATGAGATAACATACTATATAACATTGTTATTTTTTAATGTTTACAGTGCTTGGCACATAGTAGTCATTCAACAAAATAATTACTTTTATCTTTATAATTCATCACCATAATCATCCACATCAATTTATCCTAAAAAGAGGCATGTTTTACATTATTTAATAACTAATAATCACCACAGTCCTGACAGCTAACTGTAGACAAGGTATGCCTCCAAGTGGGAAAGAGAATTGAGTGACAGGATCTCCAGGCTAGTGCTGAGGTTCAATCTGAGTTTCATAGCCTGGATCACAAGAGAATAAGGATATCAAGAAAATGGCAGAAGGGAAACCTCTGCCACAGGCTGTGTCCATCAGCCCAATATTCAACATCTGTCAGAATATCAAAGGGTAGTTTGTAGAAGAACGTGGTCTAATCTCTCTGTGACCTAGTAAAGCCCAAATATTCTTAACTCATCCTGAATTTCTAATCATTAATTTGTATCAAAACCTTCCTGAACCTCCCTATAAGAAACATTTTGCCATTTGAGTAACCTTTTCTTTTAAAAATCAAAAGGAATATTATTACTATTTCCTCCATTACACATGGGAAAACTTAGGCCCAAAGTTAGGATAGATGCTAAAACAAACTCATTTTTCTCAGCTGGAACTTCTAACTAGATTAGAGGTCCCTATTTAAAAAGACCTTTGTTGATCACTGGAGGTGATGAGAATACAGGAAGTAAAGGATAAAAAAAAATGATAGGACTTTTAAATTATTAACATAAAAATAAAAGTAGATGAATAGAAAATGTGAAAACACTGCAATGACTTGGTCTTGGTCCTCAAATTTCTGGAGTTGATTTTGGAGTATCAGGAGAGTAGCAGCCATTAAGCACTTGAAATTCAGATTCACCAGTATTCATCAAGCACAGATTCTTCAAAATCTATTTCCAGAAAACTCCTCTTGTGGGATTAGAAGGTTTTATAAAGCAAAAGGTAGCTGTCCTGAAATTTTCAATGCTAGGCTTAGATATTAAATTTACAACCTTAGGTGAAGTTTACCTTTCTTGATGCAATTTTCTTCCAGGTCTCGAACATAACCTTCTAGGCAGTTCTCACACAAAAACCCAGTGGTGTTATGGAGGCAGTTGATGCACTCTCCACTCTCAGGCTTGCAAATCTTTGGAGTTTTAATTGGGTCCACGTGGCCATGACATTGGCACTTCATACAGATGCTGTCATAGTTGTAATAGCCATTTTCACATTTATTGCAGTTCTGGCCTGTGTAACCCTCTTTACACTGGACACATTTAGGTTCCAATTCACCCAATTCTAAAACAGAGAGAACACCAAAATAATTTAGTCCAGTCTCAAGCTCCAATTTAAAATGCAAAACAATTACTAGTTCTCAAAACGGGTTATAAGCTTTCCCCACTACCTCCTCTCAAACTCAAGAGACACATAGAATCAAACTAAAAATCTACACAATTATTTATTAATTGTCCAATTTATTGTGAGAATGATGGGGCCACAGAAAACCTATTCAGTAGAGAACAAAAGAAATATGCTTACATAAGAAATCTAAATAATTACAGTGAATAGGCACTCAATTTTTTATCCCTTCCTCTTTAGTCATGACAGATTAAATAAAATATGCTTTTAACAAAAATTTCCTCATTCCTCTCTCAAGTCTCATTTCACATATGTATTTGGATTTAACTGCAAATTCCTTGAAAGGAAATTTTTGCTGTTTTTATAACTCCCTTTCACCTGCAGTACCCAGCACATTATGAACACATTTTATACCTATTGATAACTGATTCACTCCTTTTGCTTCTAAAAATAAAGATTTAGAGAAAGGCCTTACTTATGATACAACTGCCTGTAGATGTCACTGCTGAACAAGGGCAGCGAAAACATTCTTTAGTGGCATTGGGACTCTGGTAAAATCCTTCTTTGCATTCTTCACAGTGGTCCCCTTTGCTATTTCCCCGGCAGTTTGAACAAGCACCTAAAAGAAGTAAATTATTTTAAGAAGTTAAAGATTTACTCTGATAGCACAGTAACTTTATATAAATCATACCTGCAACCAAAATATCTTAAGAGATAACAAGAAAAAGTTATCCAATAGAGATTGGACAGAGTTCAGTTTCTACCCCGTCTTACTTCTACATTGGCCAGGTCTGCAAGTTTGCTGTCCCCTACCAGACTGTAAACTCTTTAGGGAAAGGTGATGAGAGTTGCAATAAGCCCTTGTTGATTGATTGCCTACATCAGGGGTCCTCAAACTTTTTAAACAGGGGGCCAGTTCACTGTCCCTCAGACCGTTGGAGGGCAGGACTATAGTTTTAAAAAAAACTATGAACAAATTCCTATGCACACTGCACATATCTTATTTTGAAGTAAAAAAACAAAACGGGAACAAATACAATATTTGTATTTGCATGTGGCCCGTGGGCCGTAGTTTGAGGACCCCTGGCCTACATACTGAAAGTAGGCTAGCTATTTATAAAGAAAAAATAAAAACAATCTAAAAATCATTGAAAGAAAATAGATAAAACTATACTATTTGAATCATTGGGATACTGAATTAAATAAGTGAACTAAACCTATATGTTATGAAGATGAATAAATCTTAAAAATAATGTCGGTTGAAAAAGCAAATTGCAGAATGATATATATGGAAGGAGAGTACTTACTTTTTTTGTTTAAGTGTTTTTATTGCTTTCAGAGAGAGGAAGGGAGAGGTAAAGAGAGACAGAAACATCAATGATAAGAATCATCGATCAGCTGCCTCCTGCATGCGCCCCCACCAGGGATGTAGCCCAAAACCAGGGCATGTGCCCTGACCAGGAATTGAACCGTGACCTCCTGGTTCATGGGTCGATGCTCAACCACTGACTGAGCCATGCCAGCTGGGCTGAACTTCTTCAACTTTGATTATTTTTATTGTTATTGTCATTAGGAGAGATGGTTCCTTTCTCACTAAACTCAGAGACAAAATTTTGAAAACATACATTGCCACATGCAAAAAGACTTTTCCTCAATTGTTTCACCATTTCATAGTTTATATATAAACCTGTCAAAAATATAGAAAGTACTGATCATGTCTACAGGCAGAAGGCAAACTTTAACCTGTCAAACAGAAAGAAGGCCAAGCTCATATGAACAAGAAAGAGAGTACCAAGAGATAAGGTCAAAGAGAAAGGCGGGGCCCCCTGTTAAGTCACGGAGCACCAGGTTATTGAGGGGGCCAAGGGCTGAGTGGGTTCTTGGGGCTCCCAGAGGCCTCCTCTAGCATCTACGTCCATACACCCCGAAAGCTCCTGATCTTGTCTGATCTTGGAAGCTAAGCAGGTTCGGGCGTGGACTTGGATGGGAGACCGCCTGGGAATCCCGGGTGCTGTATGCTTTTGTGTGTGTGTGTGTGTGTGTGTCCCCATCCTCCCTTTGTCGGTGTTGGTACAGCATGGCTACTGAGCAATCAGAATGGACGCTAGCCATCAGGGGCTACTCTGGGAACTAACCCCACCCCAAATCAGGGAATGGTGTCTCCCACCTTACAGACAGCACCCCTGGATTGGAGGGGGTGCGTCTGTTACATGTTTGAATTTTATTCCAAGAGGTCTTAAGCATGGGAGTGATATTATCTGGTTATTAGGTGGAGACTTACTGTGGTAGGGTGAAGGTTAGGGGATGAGAGAACAAAAGAGGAGGCAGAGATCAGATGAGTGTCAAAGTAGTTCAGAGAGAGGACAGTGGCTTAGACAAGGATGACAGCAGTGATCATGAACAGTGGTCAGACACTGGGTATTAGGTTGAATGTCAAGCAAAGAGAACTTGCTGATGGATTGGATATTTGCAATAGGAAAAGAAATAAATAAAATATAACTCCTAGGCTTTTGGACTCAGCAACTGGGTGAATGGTGCCAGTCACCAAAATGAAGAACACTAAGAGTAAAGCAGATTGACTTATAGGGTAAAATAGAGATTTTTTTGGATGTGTTAGGATTATGATGCCAATTAAAGCCTTCAAGTAGAAATGTCAAAAGTATTGTTAGATCTTTGAGTGTGAAGATCAAGAAAGAAATGTAAATCTGGTCATCAGCACATGTGTAGATGACATTTAAATTAAATCCAGGGGGCTGAATGAGATCATTTAGAGAGCATATAAATGGAAAAGATAAGAATGCCAAGGGCTGAGCTCTGAGGCACTCCAGTGCTTACAGCGGAACAGAGGAAGATGTAGCAGAGCCAACTGCGATGGGGAAAAAGAGCCCGAAAAGTGTGATATCCTAAAGTGAAGAAAGTCATTGAGGAGTGAAGGAGTGTTCAACTCAGTCAAGCTGCCATGGAACACTATGAATACATGAAGGAGCTGAATTCTTTAAAAGTACATAATATGAACAGAAAGTTCTAGTTTAAAAAATAGTCCCTCCACCTCCATTTTAAGAAAAACATGTGCTCAATAAAGAAAATCTAGAAAAATATAGTAGAATAGAAAGACAAAATAATTACCCAAAGAACTGTGTCAGTAAGATTTTGAAAGGTTACTTGACATCTCCATATATAGAGGTTTGGATTTTGCTTTTTAAATAATCTAAATGTATCCCACACGTCATTTTTATACCCTGCTTCTTTCACTCTCATGTTGTTATATATCATTCTTTAAAACATTTTAATGACAACATAATAACAGTTTCCATTTATTGATTGCTTATAATGAGCCAGGCACTGCATTAAGAGTTTTATAAGTATACTAGAGGCCTGATGCACGGAATTCATGAAAGTGACTCAGCTCTCGCAGCCCCGGCTGCCTTGGCCGGCCCTTGTAGACCCGGCTTCGTCCAGAAGGTTGTCTGGACAGTTGTTTGCTGTTTGGTCTAATTAGCATATTAGCTCTTTATTATATAGGATTGCATGGAATCTTCACAACCCATGAAGCAGTTACTGTCATTATCCCAAATTTCTAGATTTTTTAAAAAAAACAGGCTAAGAAACTTGCACAGGTAGGTTTCACTTTCTGTGCTCGTAACCATGTATTGCCGAGATAACATAATTTGCTTCATTCCCTGTTAGAAATAGGATGGTCTAAATTTTTAGAATTATAACTACCACTTTGATGAACATCTTTGAACATAAAGTTTTTTATGAATTTAGAATTATTTTCTTAGAATAGATTCCTAGAAACAGAACTACTGAATCAAGAAAGAATTTTAACACTTTTGATACACATTGTCAAACTGCTTTCCAAATTTTCCCCCAATATATCTTATCACAAAAAGATTACTTTAAAGTCTACTTCAATATAAAATACAAGGTATAGAGAAAGACTAGAGTGAGGAAAAATAAAGACTATGAAAACATCATAAGTGGCCACCAGAGGGCAACCATACACAGCACTCCGAGGGAAAAAAATCTCATTTTAGATGAAAGACTAATTTTATACTAAGCTTACAGTTTTAAATCAAGTATTGGCGATGCTTCACATTGGATTCCATTTGAATTATATTTCAAAACAAGAGAAATCATTTATTTCTATTATTACTAACTGCTTTTAGAAATCATAACCATGAAAAGGATTTCTTTTGCCTTAAATTATCTCCAGAACAAGGACAGGTTGGAATTTACTTAACATTAAAGACAGCTAGCTTATTGCTGCAAGGAAAATAATTAGTTACAACCAGCAATGTGGACTGTTTCCTGGTCCCGCAAAAGATCTAGGGAGCAATTTAAATCAACTCAAGCAGAAACCGGTTTGGCTCAGTGGATAGAGCGTCGGCCTGTGGACTGAAGGGTCCCAGGTTCAATTCCGGTCAAGGGCATATACCTGGGTTGTGGGCACATCCCCAGTGGGAGATGTGCAGGAGGCAGCTGATCGATGTTTCTCTCTCATTGATGTTTCTAACTCTCTATCTCTCTCCCTTCCTCTCTGTAAAAAAAAAAACACACCAATAAAATACATTAAAAAATAAATTAAAAATAAATCAACTCAATATGATAAAGCATTTCTGCCATTACCCAGGATTGGAACTCATGTATTATATGTATTTCCATTTACTTGTTCATTTATTTTTAAAAAATGTTAGTACTTACTATGTGCCAAGTTACATGCTAAAGATAGTGTACAATGGTGAACAAAACTGATGTGGAACTTACAATGTAGTGACTAAGCCTTATGTGACTCATAATCACAAATAAATATATAATTATGAACTGTGATAAGTGCTATCAAAAAATACAAGTGTGTATAAATGGGAATTGTCATTTATCCTGGAGCATCAGGAACTGCTTTCTAATGCAGTAACCTTTAACCAAAGGCCTGAAGGCAGGATATGATTTATTAAGGTAAAGGGTCCAGGGTTGGGGATAGAGGTGTATTAGAAAGGTCATCCTAAGCATCCTGAATTTTTGTTGGGGAAAAGAAGATTTCAAAATTAAAGACCAGAAATATTCATTGTCTTTAGTTTTTTAATACTTTAAGTTTGCCTAAATGTGGTTTTCTTGTTCCTAGGAGCCTGGCCAGCGTGGCTCAGTGGTTGAGCATTGACCCATGAACTATGAGGTCATAGTTCGATTCCCAATCCAATAGAAATTGAGATGGGTTGAGGATGATTCACAATCTCAGTATGAGTCAGTTCACCAATGGTTCATCACAATTCTTGGTCGTGGCCTTCTAAGACTTTTAATTGAGAACCTAACAGGCCTGAGTCTTCTCTACCCTGAAAGACTGCAACAGATACCCATCAGGTCCTACTCGCACCTTCAAAATCTGGCAATGTCTTGAGAGAGAGATGGCTGCATGTTGTAGCCAGTCCTCTTTAAAGAGATTTTTGTCTCCTAAGCACTACAAGACTGAGATTTCTTTCTACCTTTTCGGCTAGCCTTCCATCTCCTACACAGTCAGCTAAGGTCCTAAGCGAAAAATGGCCTTGTGTTTAGAGCTGCTCTAGTTTCCAACCCATCACACAAGCCCCAAATGACTGCCAAAATCTCTTCTTGTGTCTCTTTCCTCAAAAAGCATTCCTTTGCTTGGGCTAACCTCTGTTCCTTAGCCTTTGCCTAGAATCAGCAAATGTCCCCTAGAAAGGAAATGGCTATGATCATCAGCTCACGTAGAAAGAGTTCTACACTTTCTGGAATTTTAGTTCATATCATCCTCTTTGTTTCCACAGCTCTCCAACCAATAAGATTTTTGAAATTTATTTGTATGTTTTTTTTTCAAGTTTTTGTTGCAGGAGTTTGGCTTGCTATACATCCCACTTAAAGGAGAAGGACCCTTACAAACTATTTAGAAAGAATCAACCTATAGATGAAGGACCTCAAAATAAAAAGAACAATGGACTGATTTTAAAAAAAGATACGGGAAGAGTGTGTACCTGTGAGGGCATCACAACTGGTAGATCGATTATTGCATTGGCAGGGCAAGCAGCCACTCCTACTAAAGCCGTAATATCCATCTTGGCATCGATCACATGCAGAGCCGGTGACACCCACTTTACACTGGCATTTCCCAGAACTGCAAATAAAAGCAAAGACAATAAGCAAAGTAAATCAGTTTAAAATTGTGTTGCTAACATCCCATCATACGAGGATCTTAATGTAGAAATTATTTCAACTAGAAGTATTGGCCTTGTGTTTAGGGCTCTTCTAAATAGTATGACTTTTGGCTGTACCGCACATGTTTTTCCATAAATATTCTATTTAACGTAGTACTAATACTAATAATTTGTGACAACTTAATCCTCTACATTTAGGAAGTTTAAAATAAATGATAAAGGATCCATGGAGAATATAAGTCCCAGAGCTTAGAAATTGTTGTTCATTAAGTACTGGGGCATAGAACTGATACCACTGCTATATCTCATTCCTAAATCATTCCACAGTTCCACCAGCATCCACACTGCCCAATCTGGAGATGAAAAGAAAAACTACCTAGCCTTCACCCAACCCTAGCTTCTGGATGAAGAATATGAAGACCAGGGTCTTAATGAAAGTATCAACTAATATCCATTTAGATGCTGGAAATTTGATATAATTTTCTACTTTAGGTACAGGCTATATATTAAAATATTTCTGGTAATTTAACTGAAATTCACAGTTATGTAAAATGACTATATGGTGACATCTATCACTTTCTGGATTAAATCCATAAAAAAAATATAGATGATCAAACCCAAAGGTCTAAAAATCTAAAGAAAAATAGTTTATTTAGTATCCCAACTCTTCCCATTAATCTATTTACTTTTTCTTAGATGATCATTACATTAATATCACCTCTTTCCAATCAGTGAAACTTAAACCTCTGTTGTCATTTTCAAGTCCTCTCTACCTCATGTTCTTATAATCACTCACTCAAATCCAATATTTCACTAATTTATGTCAAATTTTCTTTCAAAATATCTCTTGGTATTGTTATTTCCTCTACAAACATTTCTCTTAGAATGTCTTTCCTTCTCCACCTCTCAAAAATTTCCTATCAGGCTCATCTTTTTCTATGCAACTTTTCTCCAAAGAGATCTTTTGGCTTCCTGACTTCACATTCTCTGCACCATAAATTTTAACCTTAACTATGGTCTGTTCTATATTCATATATATATATATATATCTTGCTTCTCTAATTACATTGTTAAAGACCTGAGGCAAAGACTGTATCATGCAGGGGTTTTTTATTATCCTCAAGACATAGCACAAGCCTATGGATAGTGTACTATAACTATTTTCATTTCATACATCTTACTTGGTAAGTTTGCTGAGTCCAGGGACTGTACTTAGCCATCTTAATATCCTCAGAGTCTAGTACAGTACCTAGTTTGTTGTAGGCACCTAATATATACTTGACAAATAAATGGACAAGAAATACACAAACTGAATTTTAGAGCTTAAATACTGGAAGGGAAAAAGGTGAAGGGCTACAGTAGTTACCTTTCAGAACAGCTAAGATGCTTCCCTTTTTCCCAACAGTATAACCCTTCTTTATGTGATCATTCTGTATCTCAAATTTTTAGGCTGCATCTGAGCAGATTTTGGCACCAGTGATATTGAATGGGAGACAATCCAAGGTAGAACTGCTTCTCAATACAATTTTTTTTAGAAATTCAGCTCCTAATAATGAGTCCCATGGTGTTGTTAGTTTTAGTTCAGGAGCCCAAGCTCAGATTGTTAGTACTTACACATATCGTCAGTTAAAGTAATCCCCTACTATTTCCCATATTCCTATTTCTGTAGTAAAAACAGAAGTTCTAAATTTGAGAGTTATTGGAACTTTGGGTTAAACTTTGCAGAATGGAAGTAAAGCAACTTTCAACTCTGTGTATTCTACTTGTAGCATACAAACCTAAGAATTATTGTTTTATGTGAGATAATATATAAATAAATAGAAGCCTGGCTTCCAAAAACAGATCTACATGGAATGTTTTCCTCAAACAAAACCAGTCCAGAAGGGAAAGAAAGCCAGGCTTCTATTTATAACAGATCTTAAAGTCTTGTATCCTGAGAAGTATCCTATCAACATCTTTCTATCTTAAAGCTGCCTAGTATATTGGATTGGTTATTCAATTTCTTGACTAACAAATAATTTACAGAAAATGTAAAATGGAAGCATCTGAAAGCAGGCATGATGATTATGATGATGATAAAAACAATGAGCCATCGTTCATTGAGGGACTATGTCAATTATATATTCTCTCTAATCCTCAAAATAACTCTACTAGGTGAAGGTCATAATCCTCATCTTACTATTGAGGAAATGCAGACAATTTAAAATTATTGTCCACACCTAGCAATTATTTATACAAAGAAAAGAAACACCCCCCACATATATATATGTGGGTGTATATATAGATATAGATATAGATACAGTCTCATACAAAACTATCCCAAGTTACTTAAAGATCTAGTAACATAAATGTGTGTTCATCAAAATGAACTTCAAGAATATCTTATGATTCAACAAGAAGCAACCAGTCAACTTAAGTCTTGCTATATTGTCAGAAAATTATAAAGGATATAATGTACCTTTCAGAGAATGGCTAACCACAGTTCACTAGTTCACTAGCCAAATTCCAAAGCTTTTAAAACATTAACCAAAATAGGCTTGCTTCTCATTTCTCTAAAGACATTAGATTATTCAGTATATAGAAGAATAGTTATTTTTAATGACAGTGTTTGCCCAATCCACCACCTATAAGAAAAAGGTATAATCTTAGAATACCTAATAATATATTAATAATTAATTAATATTATTGTTAATTAATAATATATTACTATTATAAGGTACAGCCAGTGTTCTCAAAGCAGATGCTATTCTTTTAAGTGGATTTTCCTTTTATAGTTCTGCTCTGGGCACTCGGAAGACTAATTTAAGCAGGCATCTTTCTCCCTGTAGTATATGCTCCTTAGATGATGATTTTTTTTTAAATCCATGAATGGCTTTAAGAATCTTGATAAAACAGTTAACCAGTCTAGACACTATGCTCCACTTTCCTTGGGTAGATTTCAGAACAACAGGAAAGGAGATGCTTTTTTCTCTCTTTTTAAAAACATATACAGAATGGAGTGGGGAAGTTTAATTGTGAGGCTGCTCTAGTAGGCTTTTCCACCATGCTACTCATGGCCCATGGCCAAGCTCTGCATGTATAAGAATTAAATCACTCAGCAAATATAAAGCTTTCCCTGTGTGACTTCTTTTATAGAATAAAGCCTTTACAACACCCCCTTTCATGATATCCCTCTGTTAAAAACTGCTGAATGCTTTTTGAAGCAAAGGTCAATGGTATAAATGCAAAGAAGAAAAAAAAGTGGGTCTGTTAACAAACCACTTATGCTTATCCATAGGTTTGAAATGAAAGAACCAAAGACTCACATATTCATACCTAGAGAATAAAAGCAAAGTGGAGTTTGAATAGAAGTCAGAAATCTATACTACTGAAATAAACTAACAAAGAATTTAAGATAGAATTGCTCATCTGATGTCACTCTTTATAGATATGAGTTAACTGCTAGTAAAGTATAACATGGTATAGAGAATGATATCAGAAAAAAAGAATATATAATTAATTATAAAGTAAACACAAGCATTGTGGAACTAAGCTGCACTGAGTATAACTACAAATATACTACACATATCTTACATTATCCCAAATGGAATTATCAGATTTTCTTATGGTGTAAGTGCTTAAAGACTTTATCACAGTGATAGGTATGAGCAACTATAACAAGGTTTGAACACTTAAAAATTATTTCTTAAAATGTAAACAAGTAATGTTTTCTGAAGTGAAATTATTAATATTTCAAAAGGAAATTCAATGTGTATCATCTCAAGATAGGGTACATATTTATATCATACAAGCATTAACCAAAATTCCTTTTTAAAGATTTTGTTTTGTTTAAGATGAATGGGTGGAGAATCTTCAGAATTTCCATTGTTTTATCATCACACTGGCTAGGGTGGGAAGGGTGGGACACAGGAAGGGAGGTATCAGGGTCTATGGAAAATTCATAGCCTAAGGAGATAGGGAGAGCAAATTCCAGTTCTGCTAGTAACTAGCTGGGATCAAGTATTTATTCCATCTTGGACTCAGCATTCTCATTTGTAAAATGAAGGCAATTATACCAAACTCTGTATGATTATTGTGAGAATTAAAGATTGCATATTGCATATGTCTGGCACATAATCAGTACTGAAAAATGAAAGGAATATGAGGATAATAACAATGTCCTAGAGCTTGAATTTTTTTCCTGAGAATTATAAGGAGAATGGGTTAGGTCAGGATCTCTAATAGGCAAAGATAGACAGACTAAGTTATTTACTTTTCAAATTCCGTTAACAAACTTAGAAAAACTGAAAGAATTTATATGGTAATTACTAGATTGAAGCCAATGTGGGTAGGAAAAGAAAGCATATTATTGAACACATGGTAGAAAAGGTTTTGGGGAAGAGAATTAAAAATTGAGAAGGGCAAGGATCAGCAACTCCTACATTAGGCAGGACCAAAGCCAGGGAGACCTGATGTGCTTTTGAACCAACTAGCTAAATGATTTAACTTTTTTTTTTTAATTGTCATATGTTTTGGCATGTTTTGTTATAAAAAAAAATTGTCTATTTTCTTCCTAATATTTACAAGCTATAAAATGTATGTATGTCATTCCTTTAGCTATCATGTTATTAATTTTAACTCAAGCAGTCACAAAATAACCAAAGATACAGTTCTAATTAGGGGGAATTAATTTATTAAGAAGCATTGCTTTTCCTCTTCCCTCCTTCCTCAGACAGTTTACATATTGGCAGTCTGACAAAGAACGAGAAATAGAAAAAATAGATAATCAAATGCATCATTATTTTCTCCCTCTTTTTAAATAAATAAGTAAATTTAGTTTAGGGAGAGACTGAACGTACTGAAATTAGAGCCTGAAATTATCAGTAAATTGTGGATTACAAGCGCCCTCAATAATTTAAAAATAATATTAACAGAGAGCTAACTCTGGTTGGGTGGCTCAGTTGGTTGGAGCATAGTCCTG